GGACTTGCGCCTCAGTACCTGAGTGAACTTCTCTCATACTATGAACCATCTTAGATCACAAGGAGCTGCTCACTATTAGTACCTAGAATTAATAAAGTTACATCAGGGGGCGGAGCCTTCTCATACAAAGCCCCCCAGCTTTGGAATGGTCTTCCAGTCAGTGTTCAGGACTCAGACACAGCCTCAGTCTTTAAGTCTAGGCTAAAAACCCACTTGTTAAGTGGAGCCTTTGGTAATTAGTTTTCCCTGTTAGATAAAAGGTGCAGATCTGGGGTTCATGGTCATGGAGTATTATGGTAAACTGGGAGTGTTGGTGCCGTCGTCCCGCTGCCTCACGCACTCACTCAGGTTTGTTGACGGTGGAGTGGAGGGGCGCTGACATCTCAGGGAGCCTCATGACTCTGTTACCTTTCTGGTTTCTCCCTCTTAGTGAGGCTGTAATATCTAGACCTGCCGGAGTCTCTGCTGCTCTGTTACACTGTAATCAGTGATCAGTCACTCTGTACAGAACTGACTCTCTGTGTATTTCTTTCTCTTTGCCGAGTTGAACAGCTGCCCATCCTGTGCGTCTGATGCTGTTAGCCTTCTGGACCACTTCAGCCTTCTGGACCATTTAGACCACCATTGAGCTTCACGCTGTGTGACGCTGTGCAAACCTTACATGAACTGACCCTCCTGCTGCTGATGCTGCTGCATAAACTCAAGCTATCTAATTAACCATTGCTCCGCCTGTTTTTCCCGTTTTGTATTCTAATATTTTATACTAACGCTGTTTGCTATCCGGTGTTGACCAGAGGAGGATGGGTTCCCCTTTTGAGTCTCAGTTCCTCTCAGTGTTTCTTCCTCTTGCTCTTAGGGAGTTTTTCCTTGCCACTGCCGTCACTGGTGACGCTCATGGGGGCTCAGACCTGGATTTTTCTGTAAAGCTGCTTTGTGACAACAAATGCTGTAAAAAGTGATGTATTACTAAACTTTGACTTGATAACACTACAATACAGATGTACTCAAAGGCTCTCCTCTGACCACCTGGCCCACCAGATAAAAGTGGGCTGATTCACAATAACACTGATCCTACAGTTAAAGATTGACTTTGTACTCTACACTCTGAATCTCCAGAGGAGCTGATGAAGTTCAGTAAATCAGTTTCCTGACTCTGAATAAATAAACACTGAGTGTCCAGCTGTCTCAGTCTTCATCACTCAACTCAGGAGGAAGAACTCACCGTCAGCGTCTCTGTAGTACGCATGAGTCACACTCCTGAACCTCTCCTGACCAGCCGTGTCCCAAATCTACAGATCAGGAAGACTATCATCATCATCATCATCACCTTCAACATCATCATCATTATCAACATCAACATCATCGCCATTATCATCACCATCATCATCATCATCATCATCATCATCATCACCATCATCGCCATCATCATCACCTTCAACATCATCACCACCATCATCATCATCATCGCCATTATCATCACTATCATCATCACCATCACAATCATCATTATCATCACCATCATCACCATCATCACTTTCACCGTCATCATCATCTACCCCATTATCATCATCACCATCATCATTATCAACACAATCATCACTATCATCACCATCATCACTATCATCACCATCATCACTATCAACACAATCATCATCATCACCATCATCACCATCACTATCATCGTCATCATTATCATCATCACCATCACCATCGGCATCACCATCATCACCGTCATTACCATCACCACCACCATCATTTATCATTATCACCATCATCACCATCATCATCATCATCATCATCATCATCACCATCACCACCACCATCATCACAATCATTTATCATCACCATCAACATTATCATCATAATAATAATCACCAATAATCATCAACATCATCAATACCATAACCATCATCATTACTATCATCACCATCAAATAGTCATTATATCTAAGAAGTGTATATTTGTGTAAATACTGTATCAGTTCAGCTGGAAGGTAAATAAATATGATACATTTTTCTTACCTGTAGTTTAACCTTCACTCCATCAATGTTCAGCACTTTATTCTACAACACAGGAAGGAAATATAATCTGTAATTTCACTGTTATAAACAGTCAGAAACGTGTTTGTCATGTTTTTCACTTTGACACAGTGAAAGCAGTTGTTGTTGTTTGCGTAAACGTCCAACGCCACGAGTAAAATTTCAGCACTACTCGTCTGCTTTATCTCTGACCTCTGACTGACCTTAAAGTCACTTAAACTTTAAAGCAGGCAATATATTTCACTGTGTTTACCACGATGACAGACACTGCTCAGTGTTGTGGCCCCCAAGAACACATTCAGATACCATTCACTTACACTATCCTTACAGAAATGAATGTGTTAATAGTGAGTCTGTGCTGCACTAACAGCCTCTACTCGTCACTAACTCATCCCAAAGGTATTGGATGGAGCTCCATCACTCCAGAGAACACAGTTCCACTGCTCCACAGCCCAATGCTGGGGGGCTTTATACCCCTCTAGCCCACGCTTGGCATTGGACATGGAGACCTTAGGATCATGTGCAGCTGATCCAGAGTGTCCCATTCTATTGGTCAGTGCTTTTTTATTGAGATCATACACGCTGTGTCATCAATGAGTGACCCTACAGTAGCTGAACTTATTCATTACATGGAGCATCCAGATACTTTTGGACATGCAGTGTACATTAAGGATCTGAAGTCTTTAAGAAACACTCGAACAGCCCTTTTCAAAAGTCTTATCAACATTATTTGAATGTTTTGGCACAGGGTGGTGTTTATATGGTTGACTATCAGTCTGGAGGGGTCACAGACAGGAAGGACAGGAGAGCCGTATCAGCAAATCTCACTATAAGCAAACACATACACTGAGCCCCCCCCCAACCCTCCACCCCTCGTACCCTCTACCCAATCCCTGTTTACTTCAAACTCACACCTTCCACACATTATGACTCCAGCCAATTAGATCACAAGTCAGCTTGACTTAAATCCTTTGCTTAAAAATAATCCTCTATTAATAATGCACATTGTTTCTGAATGAGAAAATAAATTTATCAGAATTTGAGAGTCTTGGCTTTTGTTATGGCTCTCTGCCGGGAATACTCTCGGCTGGGAATACTCTCTGCTGGGAATACTCACTGCTGGGAATAGTCTCTGCTGGGAATACTCTGGCTCCTGTCAGAAAGCTCCTCAGAAGAAGGTCTGAGTGACCCCTGGCATAAGGCTGGTGTTTTTTTCTACCCACTTCATGATCTTTTATGCGCTGAGTCACCAGTTTTCTCTCTACAGTCCTTCAAGTTCATTTGCAAAACACATCCAAAATAAGGCACATGCTAAATGTACATTCAGGTGCAGAGTCAGGTTCAGGCCTGTTTAAATGTGGTCAGTCCTGCTGATGACCACAAGCTTATCCATCCAAATGGTGAAAGAATTGGTTTAAGCTGCAATTTTAAAATAATGAAATTTGACGGGTTGTTTTAAAGTACAGTCACTGAATCATATTTTACACTCTATATCTTTCTTGAATGTGTCGATCCAAAGCTCCACCCTCTGTTCTCAGCCCTCCAATCCCTGCTTAACAACAGTTCCCATATGGAAAAACATATATATTCCAAATATATTTACCAAATATATTTTTGCAACATATAAATATGGCCAAAAAATGTATTTGTAAAATATGTTTCTAAAAATGTTCTAAAATTTATTAGTATTAGTTACATGTGTTCAGTTGTGTGTAATAAAGGTTACAGATGTGACTAAACATACAGACTTCTGTGATCTGCACTGTACTTTACATTAACCATGTACGTCTGCAGTCAGACTCTCACACACAATGTATTTCACATAAACAAGATATCAGATCATAACTGCATTTTCACAGAGTATCAATACCCACAACACTCGCTTCTGTCCTGTTAAAGGATCATTTGATCATATATATAAATAAATATATATAAGTAAAAAATAAAAACAAATAAGAAATAAAATATGAGGTTTGTTCCAAACGCTAATGGATGTTTTCGTAATATACGTTGTTGGTAGTGAGCTTCATATTTCATCACTGTCCAATAAAAATCATGTCTCTCTGTTTTTGTCGATGTTTATTTTTCTGCATTATTTGAAAACATTTACAGTGTGTGAAAATTTCATGACAAATGAACCTCTTTACATTAACTTACACTAGACGTTCAGAGAGTTTTCGCTCTCTTCTGTAAAGTCAATATTTTGGAGATGAGTGTTTTTCCTCAGACAGTGATGTACAGAGAACAGAAGAGAGTGAATGTGCTGTAATCTACAGTTCTTACTCTGAAGTCGATGCCGACAGTTGAAATGAAGCTTCCTGCCAGAAAAGCTCCATCCTTAAAACGAACGAGTAGACAAGTCTTCCCAACTCCTGAATCTCCAACCAGCATGACCTACAGAGAGAGAGACAATAAAACAAAATAAACAATAGATTGACAAAATACCAAAGACTATGGTTTCTTTGCTTCCAGAACATCATGGCACCTGGAACATAACACTTCCTTCATAGAGTTACAGGAGATACATCTACAGTAAATCAGATGGAATACTAATCTCTCCACCTTCACCAGACGCAACCCAACACCTTACCAGACCTTATGAAACTATACCAGATCTTTCTAGAGCTTACAAGACCTTACCAGACCTTATGAGACATTACCAGACCTTATGAGACCCTACCAGACCTTATGAGACATTACCAGACCTTATGAGATGCCACCAGACCTTATGAGACCTTACCAGACCTTACTAGAGCTTATGAGACCTTACCAGACCTTACTAGAGCTTATGAGACCTTACCAGATCTTATGAGACCTTACCAGACCTTATCAGACCTTACCAAACCTTATGAGACCTTACCAAACCTTATAAGACCTTATGAGACCTTATGAGACCTTACCAGACCTTACTAGACCTTATGAGAATCTACCAGACCTTACTAGAGCTTATGAGACCTTACCAGACCTTATGAGACCTTACCAAACCTTACTAGAGCTTATGAGAACTTACCAGACCTTATGAGACCTTACCAAACTTTATAAGACCTTACCAGACCTTATGAGACCTTTCCAGACCTTACTAGAGCTTATGAGACCTTACCAGACCTTACTAGAGCTTATGAGACCTTACCAGACCTTATGAGTCCTTACCAGACGTTACTAGAACTTATGAGACCTTACCAAACCTTACTAGAGCTTATGCGAACTTACCAGACCTTATGAGACTCTACCAGACGTTATGAGACCTTACCAGACCTTACTAAACCTTATGAGAATCTACCAGACCTTATGAGACTCTACCAGAGCTTATGAGACCTTACCAAACCTTACTAGAGCTTATGCGAACTTACCAGACCTTATGAGACCTTACCAAACTGTATAAGACCTTACCAGACCTTATGAGAATCTACCAGACCTTATGAGACTCTACCAGACCTTATGAGACCTTACCAAACTGTATAAGACCTTACCAGACCTTATGAGACTCTACCAGACCTTATGAGACCTTATGAGAATCTACCAGACCTTATGAGACTCTACCAGACGTTATGAGACCTTACCAAACTGTATAAGACCTTACCAGACCTTATGAGACCTTACCAGACCTTACTAAACCTTATGAGAATCTACCAGACCTTATGAGACTCTACCAGACCTTATGAGACCTTACCAAACTGTATAAGACCTTACCAGACCTTATGAGAATCTACCAGACCTTATGAGACTCTACCAGACCTTATGAGACCTTACCAAACTGTATAAGACCTTACCAGACCTTATGAGACTCTACCAGACCTTATGAGACCTTATGAGAATCTACCAGACCTTATGAGACTCTACCAGACGTTATGAGACCTTACCAAACTGTATAAGACCTTACCAGACCTTATGAGACCTTACCAGACCTTACTAAACCTTATGAGAATCTACCAGACCTTATGAGACTCTACCAGAGCTTATGAGACCTTATGAGAATCTACCAGACCTTATGAGACTCTACCAGACGTTATGAGACCTTACCAAACTGTATAAGACCTTACCAGACCTTATGAGACTCTACCAGACCTTATGAAACCTTACCAGACCTTACTAAACCTTATGAGAATCTACCAGACCTTATGAGACTCTACCAGAGCTTATGAGACCTTATGAGACTCTACCAGAGCTTATGAGACCTTATGAGACTCTACCAGAGCTTATGAGACCTTACCAGACCTTACTAGAGCTTATGAGATCTTTCCAGACGTTATGAGACCTGTTAACCTGTTTGGTCAGGCCTCTAGCAGGCCTGTTCTGGCTAATGTTGAGTATTTGATAGCGTTGAATATTCTTAAAACACAGTCAAACACACCAACTAAAATTTCTTAAACCAGTTTAACTGCCCACTAGAACACTTTTCAGCCATTTACACGCAACCATTCACATATCATATCATACATATCATACTGTCAACACCCTGTCTTTCCTGATTGTTTACAGCTGCGCCTCCCCAACACTGAGCCTTTAAAATATGCTTCGGATGTAAGATCACTTCAGATTTTATCATGGAAAATTCACATACCATCCAAGCAGCTGTATGAAACTGCTGAACAGTGTAGTAAATGTGAGTGAAGTTCTTTATTTGTTTGCTCAGCTCTTTTTTCAAAACATGCTTTCATGTCCATCATAACCGGAGTGTGATACTCTCGAGCTCTTAGCGACCACGCAGTGTAAAGTTTTCACATATTGTACGTGAATTCAAAGCTGAAGCTGTTCTCTCGTAGTTTCTGTGGTTGTTATTGGCTGTTGAACAACTATTTTCTTGAGTGATGGTCTTCTGCTCCTATAGCACGAGCCCTGGATCCCACTGGCGTTCAGAGGGGTCCTATCAAATCAGTTATTGACACATTTTTAAACAAGTAGTACTCAGACGAAAACGAAGATCGGTCACTTGCCTTAATTGGTTACCTACTGAATGGGGGAGGGGGATATGTAAATCAATCACCCCTGATGGGCTCTGGCCACTCAGACTGGTACACTGCAGAGCGCGCGCTTGTGACTCTGTTTGGTTTATTATGGCTTTTACATATTTTTCATAAAATAATAGTTGATCTCCAACACTTTTAGACATCTTAGCTGTGACGATGAGCTGGAAGCTGAGAGTGGCGGCTCAGTGGACTCTGAGGACGCATTTGTGTGTGGAATTGATGCTGCGCGTGACATATAGGTTAACTATATACATCTAAATTCATACATGAGAGAATGAAAGCATAATACACACTTCAATATACATAATACACACTTTTCATCCATTTTAGCCTATTAGCAATGGATCTAATATGGTTTAGCAAGTTGCTGAATGTTACCTACCACGCCGTGTAAAATATAGCCTGTCATGACGCGTCAGCTAATCTTGTAGCCCATTACACTAATATAGTTTAAATTGTTGATCATTGTCTACCATGCCGTGCAGTGTAAGATATAGCATGTCATGCTAAATATAGCATGCATAGATAGCACATGTATTTATTACACATTTAGCATGAAATATTTAGCTTTATTTAGCATAACAATTTGTAAATTGTATTTGTGTTCATGATGCCTATTTTACCCATTTGGTCATGTTGTCCTGTCTTGTCCTGCTCCAGGAGGAACCCAGGAGTTCAGCTGTTGCCTCTAAAAGACTGTGAAGTCCAGTATGTGGTGTTGGAGAGGTGTTGGGTACATTTTTACATTTTGGATAGGGTGATCATTTCCCTGGAGGAAACATTAATATCACTCTGAAGTGGACTTTTTATCTGTTTTATCACACAAGACCAAAAAATCTTGTACAAGCTTAATATACAGTGACAGACTTCCTCTTTGTATTTGGAGAGTTTGGAGAGGTTATGGACACTTTGGAGACGCCTAGTAGGAAATGCTGTGTAGCTCCTGAATACTTTTATGTATCTGCTCCAGATTTGGTACTTTGTCTTATAAGACCCTGTTGAACCACAAAATATAGAACATGACTGATTCTTCATCTCCAGCATCCATAAACACATTGTAAACCTGCCAAAAACATTTTTTTTTGTTTTTTTTTGACATTTTCTTCTATATTTGATGTTCTCAAATGGAACCTAAAGGATGGAAATAAAAGCCTGGGGGTGAAGAAAAGTGTCTACTTCAGTTTAAACCCTGAATGATCGTTGTGCTATTTGTATAACTTAAGATAAGTAGTGTTACAGTGCAGTAGAACAAATCGTTTGAAAATGAGCTTAAATTTGGATCTGCACAAAGGGGTTAATGACAGGTATAATCTTAAAGACGGGTATTAGTGCTATAATGTGCTGTTTAGTACATGGTGTGTTTGTTAAAGTTTAATGGTATTATTATAATGAAATTCTAATTAATAGTGATTATTTTGGCTTCAACAGTAATGTTACTGTAAATGTACAGTGAATGGAGATACACTCTGCTGTCAGTTTTTTTACTGCAAAATCCAATATCTAGATCAGACAGTGTAGAACATAACAACAGTGTTATTCTGTATATTAGAATTACAGTAGTGTTTCTGTAAAATTACAGGAAAGAGCTGGAAATGCTGTTTTTTTCAGTAGCACTATCTGATCAGGTGTAGACAGTGTCTGTTACTCATTTATACTTGAAGACTTTATTTCCAAACCGACAACAAAGCATGTCTGTAAGTCACTCTGGATAAGAGCGTCTGCTAAATGCCATAAATGTTTGGTTCCAAAACACTTTATAGACCATTTTTAATATTTGTTTTTCATGATATATGTTGCTGGGAGCTTTACACATATGAAACATCAATGCTTATGGGTATGATTTATGATTAATATGGCCTTTATTAGAGAAATAAAAGTGCTACTGTTATTCTATTCAAAACTGGTACAAACAGACATTCAGCATTTTGGAAAAAAAAAGTCTTCAAATGTAAACATGTAAATCAACATACTGTAATCACATCGAGCCACGCGTCTCTGAGCAGCGTGTGGGTAACTCCCTGTCTTTACTCAACTAAATATTAACGGATTTAAACTTTACTGAGGTGATAAAACTGTCACTTCTTTTACTTTTACTCCAGTGTTAGTAAATACAGGAACATATTTGAGCTCCTGGTTGGTCACTGCTGGTCACTGCTGGCTTATCTGTGTTGACACAGCTGTGCACAGTAATGCTCTCCTTACAGGTCACAACTACAGCAGTAATATAATGAACTATAAGAGCTCTACTGTGTAATACTTCTATAATAATCTGTATCAGTGTGTAAAATTCCTGCAGTGCTGTTTTATTTATACGGGTGATACAGTCGGTAATGTGTTCTATTTCTAATGGGCTCTATAACATAAATTATTGCTGATTAATACATTAATAAAGTATGAACCTTTCCTATATGGAAAAAAATATGGACATGTATTTTTATATATTAGAAATAGGTATTATTAAAATATAAGACATAAATATTTTTAGAAACACTACAAAATGTGTTTGAGAATATTTTGCCATGTTAAACAAAAAAAAAATTAAAACATTTATTTTAAAATGTATGGGGAAATATTACACATAGAAATGTACCATCCAAAAATAACTATGTAAATGTGTTTATTAAATCCATCTGAAAATGTATGAAAATATTCAGAACCCTGTCTGATGCTCTTCACTGTCTGATACCTTTAGAAATGAATTTGTGTTCCAGTATCTTCATTTTAAATCTGATCAAATGATCCTTTAACAGGACAGAAGCGAGTGTTGTGGGTATTGATACTCTGTGAAAATGCAGTTATGATCTGATATCTCGTTTATGTGAAATACATTGTGTGTGAGAGTCTGACTGCAGACGTACATGGTTAATGTAAAGTACAGTGCAGATCACAGAAGAACGTTTAGTTACATCTGGAACCTTCATTACACTCAACTGAACACAGATAATAACTAATACTAATAATAACTAATACTGATAATAACTAATACAGATAATAACTAATACACATAATAACTAATACTGATAATAACTAATGCTGATAATAACTAATACACATAATAACTAATACTGATAATAACTAATACAGATAATAACTAATACTGATAATAACTAATACTGATAATATCTAATACTGATAATAACACATACAGATAAATGCATTTTAAAAATACACTTAATAAATGCATTAATGGCCATTTTCATACACTGCAAAAATAAGTATGTATCCAAACACATTTGCATCTAGTTTTCTCCATATGGGTTTTCTTTCCAGCATGGGGCGGATATGGACCCCCCAGAAGGAGGCTGCTCAGGGCCCCCCAAAATATCAGAAACAGCCGTGATAATAACTGACAACTGTCTGAGTTCGAATCCTCCGTCCCACCTTAAACGGTGCAGCAGTTGTTATAACGCCAGAATGTAACTGCTGCACCATTTAAGGTGGAACGGAAAATTCAAACCAAGAAGCCAGATTCAGCTCACCTTAAAGGAGAGGTGATAAGACTGCGCGCTGCTGAGAGGAGGATGAGGAGGAGGAGGAGGAGGAGGATGATCTCCTCCACAGCTCCTCGCGCTCCTCCTCTTCTCCCTGTGCCTGCTCTGGGACGCGCTCGCGCTCCCCTTCAGCGCCTTCTTCCTCGACATGTTTCTCCGCTCAGAACTTATTCTCTCGAAACGCCAGCAAACTTTCCAGAGGCAGACTGTGCCAGCGCGCGCGCCCGTGCAGAAGACCGGCCGTTCTCTTTTTCAGTGCACGAGCGTCCGTCCGTCCGCGTCGTACCTTCAGCTTCTCACGCGCCTTTCTGTCCAGCAGAAGGGGGCGTGGCCCTGTACCTCCGAGCTCTCGAGCCGTGGTGGGTACGTCTCAATGACGCGCGCAAATGGCGCCAATGCAGCGCACGAGCGCAACACCTGGTGGAAGCAGAAAGCTGTTAAACTTGCAGGATCACCTTTCTGAGGCGCTAATGGCAGCCAGGGTGACGTCATCTGTTACGGTTTAACTGATTAAATATAGATTAAAGTAACTAAGCGTGATTAATCGCATTGTTTTACGTAGTTAATCATGAATAATCATGTTTTCCCTGGTATTAATGTGATTAATCGCATTATTCTGTGTAGTTATTTGTCTTTATCCACTTTGTTTTTTGTTGCTTATTTTGATGAATCACAATATCCTGTGTAGCTAATCACATAATCGCATAATTAATCGCATAATTCTGCGTAGTTCATAGTAATTAACTGCATTATTTTGTGAAGCTAACTGTGATTAATCACATTATTTTATATAGTAATCATGTTACATTATTCTCATTTGTCTTATTTGCTCAGATTTGACCCCATAGTAAGATTTCCGTTATAAAGCAGTGCATTGTGTTACACCTGTATGAGTGACACAATCAGCTTCATCTGGATGTATTGACCACTTTCAGCAATTCAGATACAATATTTTAAATGCAGATCCTGAACATGATCACGTGATCTTCAGAGTGAAGTTTCACCACAGACGTCCAGTGAGAGCAAGTGTCCGCATGTTCCAACCAATGAGTGTGTATATCATATATATCACATATAGTCAATGAGTGTATTGATTGTATACACCATATATACAGTGTGTAATTATCATAAATATCACACATACAATCAATGAGCATATCATATATATATGTACAGTTGATGATTTACTCTGCTGAAAGTGCTGAAGGTTTCACTTTAAAGACATTTAAAATCTGAGCCATATCTATCAGAGCGACACGGGGCTTCAGCCTGCACTGTTTCTGAAGTGACGAAGGGTCAAACTAAGACTAAATTAGTTAATGGTTTAACAGAAAGTGGTTTTAATGATTCATCACATAAACATATCAACCCATTAACCATGACAGCACTAATTTACACCACTTCAAAATCACCTTTTATTTATATTTACTTAACATTATTCTTTTGTGAACAAGAGGCTTAAAGTACAAGTAAAAATTTCACAGGTTAAGCTGTAAACAGAGATGTTCAGAGAAACTTACAGAGTTTGTTCAGAACTGTTCACAGTGGTGGTGATAGGAACCAGACGTCCACCTCTAAAAGCTCAGAAAGTTCCTACATGAAATGGTTATGAATTCACTGCCTGATGACTGAGACACAGTTTTATGGTAGTTTTGAGAACTTAAACTCCATTCATGGTGGAGGGATACATACAGGGCGCTGTGAGGCAAAATAGTCCCCAAAGAAAACTTATTATTTCAGATTTTCCACTATTTTCCATCATCAACATTCCATATAGACTCAGAAGACTCGTGTAGGTTCACTGGTGGTTCTGGATAGTAAATAAAATGTCTATATTTGTGTTGTAGTCATGGTGACCTGAGAAAAAATGCCTGATTTGTGGTTAACTAACCGAAACCACTATCACTGTCATTTGTAATACCAATAAGAATAAAAATAGAAAGTAACAATAATTTGTGCTTACACCAATCCAGTTCAAAAGTGGATGTACTTATTTTATATGCACATTGATATAAACAAATATACTACATACAGACATATTACACTGTGCTTTGGTCTTATGCTACTGACTCCACCCACAAAATAAACAGTACAAAACACAGCTAGTCTTCAATAATACAGTGTTTAAACGTGATATTTTAAGAAAATAACTACATCATTCTGTTGTCTTAAAAACACTAAGATGTTTTGTTTATTTCACATTTTATTCTGCCACTCGTAATTTTAACACTATAAAGTTTGGTCAGTAGGGGGCGCAGTGCACTCACTCCTCCACTTCAAACTCTACAAGCACAGCCACTGGTTAATGAGCCACTGAATGCTGTCGTTTTATTAGCTTCTACAGAAACATCTGCATGAATTAAGTATATGTATAGCTCCTAAAATCAGAACAGTAACACAGCACAGAACTTCATTAGGTACGTAGAACGGTTCTGGTGGATGGTGCATTAACATGTTCTGATGCAGCAACAGGCAGACAAATAAATGAGGAGCAGTGCTTGTTGAAGGAGACCGAGAATAACCCTAAAGACGTTTCAACAGTTTTGTTTGGGTTCGTATCATTATAATTGTTTAAATACGATAAACATTTTGGCTCTCAAACGTTTCCTTAAGATTTGGTTAACAGCTACTGCAAAGGTTCCGTCAAGAACCACAGAGAGTTTAGATCTTTACTCTGTGCACAAATAATCTGCTACAGTCACAAGAACGTGAGGCTTAAACAAGTCGGTTTCACGTTTCCGTTGTGTTGATTTTTAATTTTATTTACACAGCAACACTATTCCTTCAACAAGCTGCTGTTAGAGTCGAGTCCGGTTTCTGCCGAGTCCAGTTAAGCCACACCTGCAGCCGTTGTCTCTAATATGTTTGATGGTCAGCAATGACAGTCAGAGTCGATGCCACCACATTAAACATAGTGTCATTTATTTCTACTATACATTTTATCAAATGTACAAACCTGATTGCTTTGTGCAACAAAGTGCTGCAGACTTTTTAAGCTCCTCTAAAGTCCTGATAAACTGAGCGCAGATGTTTTTCCTGAAGACCACAAAACTCTTTTGAAGTCATGAGCTGCTTTTAAAACTCCGCAGAGCCGAGAGTGGACGCTGCGCTCGGTCAGAGTCTTCAGGCAGGTTTAATGCAGGATCATTTCGGGTCCGTAAGTCAGATCAGTGAGTTGGGTCTGTGAGTTGAATCAGTGAGTCCAGTCAGTGTGCTGGGATGGTGTATCTGGTGAGTGATTCGGGTTTGAGTCAGGTCAGTGATTAAGTGAGCTGGATCAGCATGTCAGATCAGTGATTCTGGGACAGTGATTAAGTCAGCTGGGTCAGTAAGTCAAGTCAGTGATAAAGGGAGCCGGGTCAGTGAGTAAGATCAGTGATTCTGGGTCGGTGATTAAGTGAGTTGGGTCAGTAAGTCAGATCACTGAGTTGGGTCAGTGATTCAGGTCAGTGAGTCGGGTCCATGATTCGGTGAGTTGGGTCAGAGAGTTTGGATCAGTGAGTCAAGTCAGTGATTCATGATTCAGGTCAGTGAGCTGGGTCCACGAGTCACCTCAGAGAGTTTGGTCAGTGAGTCAAGTCAGTGATTCAGTGAACCGGGTCAGTGAGTCAGATCAGTGATGTTAGGTCAGTGATTTAGATCAGTGAGTCGGGTCAATAAGTCGGGTCAACGAGCTGAGTCAGTAGCTGTCCGGCTGAGGCCAATTCCTGGACTGGAAGTACCTCCTGAGGCCCTCCAGGTTGATGGGGGGGAAGTACGGTCCGATTCGTTTCCTGACCCACCAGTTTCCCTTCGCAGCGCTGGCGCTGCCCGGCTTAGTGAACTTATATCTGAAATGTTCTCCTCGGATCCACCTAAACACACACAACCGAGACGGTTCAATAAACACGAGGATTGTGGGAAGATGACGTTTAAATACAGTTAAATGCAAAAGTTTAGGCACCCTTGGATAAATTACGCTTTGTAAATTTTCTAAGTGAACATATCGTCTCCAGGGAACAAACTTAATTATTCTCCTCATTTTAATACATAATTACTATTCATACAGTTAATGTAACATGTAGGAAAAAAAAAAATTTATATATATATATGTCCTACATATTTTTAAAGATCTGAACAGGTGGCCATGCTATATCTTAATATACAGGAGTGAATTCAGTAATCAAAAACACTTAGAATGGAAAATAAAATCGGCCTTGACCTTTTACCCCACATTGTGCCTCACTACTGATTAGCTTGGTGATTTTTTTTCTTATTATTTATTTTTTTTATTTATCGTATAATTGAGTATGTTGACCTTACCGCGGTTTCTCTCGGCCCTCAAACGGATTGTGTCCCATTAGAGACAGAACTGTGGAGTCATTCGCTAACAGTCTGCCTGCAATCTGAATAATCCATTCATTCTGTTCATACGTCTGTGAGAGAGAGAGAGAGAGAAAGAGAGAGAGTTTGCGACTGTAGATGTTGATGTGTTGCGTTATCTAATAACTAACAAACTACATCTAGACCAGAACAGGACATCATTGCAGACTGAGCCGGTGAACAGAGAGCCGACACACTAACCTGCTCCTTCAGTAACATTCAGTCCAGATTTAAGCTCAGTTCTTACTAAACTGGTCACTCACTGTGAAATGGCTCAAACTGACTGATTAAACAGGCTGAACACATCAGTAACAGGTGACCTTAAAGCAGCTGGATTAGAGGGACTGTCCAGATATTTTTGGATATGTAGTGTACGTAAACACCCTTGAAGAGAGTACAGAGATAAAAAACACAGCGTCCAATCATAAACAGACCACAATGCATATCTAAATAACAGAGACCTCAGATCTTCCTGACTCTCACCTGGAAGGCGGCGAACCACATAAGCCAGTCCAGTCTGTAGTGGTACGGAGAGATGAGGCAGGGTCTCCTGCTCACTGACCCAGGCTTACATAGGAACTCATACTCCTCCCACACCACCTCCTCACCACTGGGGTCAGCACTCAGAGTGCCCTGGAACACCACCTCCGTCCTCTCTTTAGTGATGCTGCAGAGAGAGAGAGAGAGAGAGAGAGGGTGAGAGAGAGAGAGAGAAACAGTGAGAGAGAGAGAATAGTGAGAGAGAGAGAGCGAGAAAGAGAGAGAGAAAGAACAGTGAAAGAGAGAGAGAGAGAGAGCCTGACCTGCCGAAAGCTCCGTAGGTGTTGACGATGCGGAGAGGGTCAAATGAGGTGTTCATCACCTGTCGGGGACTCAGGAGGTTTATCAGCACAGGAACACTCAAATACGCGATCAGTATTCCCAACGAGACGTTCACGACTCGCCGTATTAACATTCCTGAGAATAACATAATAAAGCAGGAATCAGTAATAATGGCTGAAACTGTCCTTCACACCCGCGTAAACACAAAGAGCTTTTCAGGGTTAGTACTCCAGAATAATGAAGTTCCATATACATCATTCACACACCTGCAGTGGGAGGAGGGTTCTGCTCTGCTGTGTCTTCGTTCTGGATCTTCAGTACGGTTCTCCTCGCCGCCCCGGAGGACCGGAACAGAAACGCCAGCGCAGAGTCATCAAAACAGGCTAAACTGGGAACTATAGTTAACCAGTTCAGGAAACTCAGATTCCCACTGATTATCAAAACCACCTACACACACACACACACACACACACAAACAAACACACACACAGAGTAAGCTGTATGAGCTCCTCGGACTGAAAACTAGTTGCAGCTGTATGCCATCGTATATCACATCTATGAGTCATCACTGACAGCTGTAGGTGAGGCTGTTTTTACTGATGGGGTATGTGATATTCAGCAGTGTTCCCAAGCAGTATTCCAAGCCCATGTGGTGATATTCATTGAGTTAGTTAAGTGACCCTTATTAGTCCCACGAAGGGGAAGTGTTACCTCTGCATTTTAACCCATCTGTGCAGTGAAACACCATATACACACTAGTGAACACACACACACACTAGGGGGCAGTGAGCCCTATCCACGGCACCTGGGGAGCAGTTGGGGGTTAGGTGTTTTGCTCAAGGGCACTTCAGTCACGTACTGTCAGCTCAGGGGATTGAGCTGGCGACCTTCCGGTCACAAGGCTGGCTCCCTAACCTTCAGCCCACGACTGCCCTGACAGAAGCGGGTTTTTAATGCAGTGCCTTCTGACAGGCTGAAGGTCATTCAGTACTGGTGTTCAGCCTGGCCCTTTACTCCAGATTCTCAGAGTCTTTAGTAATGTTCTGGACTGCAGATGGTGAAATCCCTCAATTTCCTGCAATTGTGTGTTGAGAAACATCCTTAAACTGCTGGACTATTCACTCATGCAGTTTTTTGCAAAGTAGTGAACTTCAACTTATTTTGTTACATGATACCTCTATACCTCTTTACCTGTGGAAACGTCCAACACACACACACACACACACACACTATCTACACAACTTATCCTCCTGGTTTGTTGGGAGAGCTGCAGTCTTTCCCAGCACTTATTGGGCAGAAGGCAGGAAACACCCTGGACAGGCTGCCAGTCCATTGCAGACACACACACAGACACACAGACACACACCGAGGGCCAATTTAGCATCTCCAACTGGCCTGACTGCATGTGTTTTGACAGTGTGAGGGAACCCACACAGACACATTTATGGCATTTGGCAGACGCTCTTATCCAGAGTGACTTGATCTGCAATTTGATCTGTAGTCTTCACATTTGGAGTATTTACAAAAATCAATAAAGTTGATAAGTAAATTATTAAATATGTCTTCTTTGTGCTGCTTTAAATAAAAAAATCTGTAAAAAACAAATCACTGTAACTGGGTTTTTATAATCTGTACTCATATTGACACACTGTGCCTGTTAATTTTGTTTGGAGACAGAAAACAGTAAAAAAAACAGTCCAATCAGGTTCATCGATCACAATCTATCAGGTTCCTACAGGAACACTTTCGTTCTGTTAGTAGAGTAGCAGCACTCACAAAGCACAGGCCCATAAACTTACTACTCTATGTTCCATAATAATGACCTATGTTTTCAGGGTGCTTCAGTATTCCAACAACCTTTTGCTAAGTGACTGAAAATGACTACACTGTACTTTACAGAACACAAACATAATTAAATATAACTGTATAAAGCTGATCGTAAGAGTAATGAGTGTAATGGCAGCAGTAGCAGCTACACGTCCATCACCTGAAAGAGGATCTGCAGCGCTCCGTTAATCATGCACATCCGGCGACCCATGAAGGTGAAGAAGGGCACGATGAGCTCGATGAAGTGATTACTGAGAGTCTCAAAGCGATGGAACCACCAGGGGGAGCGGTGCAGGTAGTACGAAATGGGGTTAGGAACCGGCTGCGTCTGCAGGAGACAAAAACAAACAGAACATCAATTTACATAAATGTTTATTCAAAACAGAACATCAGTCATAGACTGATACATCTGTGAATATTGGTGTCCAAAACTTGTTCTCCAGTAACTGCAGCGAAAGTAAACACACCCTTTCTAAAAACAGAGTAACAGTGCAAAAACAGATGAAAAAGTGGAAGTTCTTAGAACATCCAGCATCAATCAGCACAGGAAGTGCAAGTATGAAACTGGCTTCTTATTTTAATTTCTGAAATGTCTGAAATGAATTGACTGTGTTTAATCTGCACGTTATGATAGTGAGAGAATTAAACCTCAGCTGAAGAGTAAAAGGAGCCCTTACAGCCCTTTACCGAGGATCTCAGCGATGAACGTAGATCTCCTGAGTTTGTTTACATTTATTCACCTCATAGTGATAGTCCATGCAGGTCAGATCTCTCCAGCAGCGATCCCCTCTGATCTTAATCAGTCCCTGAAGAACGACAGACACACAGTTTCATCCAATTACAACAGAAATGTGGGAGTTCAGTTCCTGAATAATGTACAGCGCTGTGCAGAAGTCAGAAACCATTCATTGAATAAATCTGCAGTCAAAACAGTCATAAAGTACAAATTATTAAATTTCCAGCATCTGAAATCATAAATTTAACATAAAATCACCCAGAATCCTCAGCAGCTAAATCTACTCTCAGCTGTGTGAGTCAGTGAGTCTCTCTTTCCCTTTATTCCAGCTTCCATCCTTTTCAGGAGACTCACTTTCAGTTCCTCAAAGAATCTGCAGACACACCTCCAAAGAACCAAGCTTGTTCGCTAAAGTCTGAACCAGAGTTTGTGCTTGTGTGATATCGTATCTTGAGTGTTTATTGGTCGGAAATTGATGCAAAAAACTTTGCACGAAAATAGAGACGCGTGACGTCTACGTGCATCACAGTTGACGCAATAATAATAAACCTTATCTGATCTCTGATTCTTTATCATTGGTTTGTCAATTTAAGGTGCTGATCAGTCTATAAAACCTCTCTCTACATACACAGACGTCCAGTTTCAGTGTTCTAGCGCAAATGTTCTTGACAGCTACACATCCTTTCAGACCCACAGCGCTGAGTCGTCTTCTCACAGTGGAAGGATGGACAGAAACACCTGTGGATGTTTTCAGATCTGATCAGCTTGATTTTCTCCTCTCTCTCAGAGATGAAAGCTTTAAGTGCTGTTTATCTGATGGGGGCAGTTTTGGGGTCGACCAGCTCTTCCAGGTGGTTGTTAGGAGCCACATTTTCTTGTAGCTTTTAATCAGTTTCTAAACTCCAGTTAATCTTCTCAGAAATTTCTCTGACTCTTGCACAGCGCTATGTGTTCTGTATGAGAAATGATGTGATGTGTTAGATGATAAGTTTGTGTATCAGTGAGACTCACAGCTCCCAGCATGATCCTCACTATGAGCCAGCGGAAGGTCCAGATGGAGATGAGGGAGGGCGGGGATCGGCGGGGGATCTGCTCAAGACTCCATAACGGACACAGAAAAATTCCCAGAAATCCGGTTTCCAACAACTGACTCTCCCACCCTGCGCACACACACGGAAGTTTTTACATAAAGTTCAAGTTCTATAAATCACAACATAAATATAAATCCTCCATTGTCTTTATAAATGTGAATTTTATGATCATTTTAACGCCGAATCTGTCCGTACGAAGGTTTTATAAGTTGGAGAGCGTAACATTTCAGTGATGATTTATTCACTCAGCAGTTTCTGTGATTGATTTCAAACCTGTAGAAAAGTGTAACAGCAGCACTTTCAGATCTGTCTTTATTTCCTTTGATTCCACTCAATTATCTCCTGAATTAGGAACATAATTATTTTATAAAGACAATAAAGATCACTCACGCTGCGCTGCACTCACCAAAGGAATACCTAAAAAAGAAAAACAAAGAAATATGTTTCTACGTTTGTTCACAAAGACTAATACACATTCTTAAAAAAGATATTTCTTCAAGCATTCTTCAGTAAATAAATGTTTCTATGCAGAACCATAAACACTCAAAGAACACTTTGCATGATTAAATGGTTCTTCAGATTGATGGAGAACGTGTTGTATATGTATTTTTGAAAAGGATTCTACATAGCACCAAAAGGGTTCTTCTACTGTGACACTGTAAGAATGGTAGAACCCTTTTTGTTGCTACGTAGAACCATATACAACTTAATTTCCATCAATCTGAAGAACCATTTAATCATGCAGTGTTTTTTGTGTGTTCATCACTTGCTTTACCAAAGAACCCTTGAAGAACAATCTTTCTGTAAGTGTGTAGTTTTGTTCTAATCCAAAAAAAAACACATTAAAGATCAAATATCATAACATGTTTTACAAACATGTCACTGCAGTTTTACAGCTCGTCTAAATCTGTCGTTCTTTATGATCCACGCAGGTGTTCTGTGTTCTAGAACAGATGTTCCCAAACATCTGCACACTGGTACCATTTGGATATAACAATATATGATTGGAAATTCCACTATTAATTATTGTTATTATTAATATAGTAATTAATAATATTATAACAGCATTTTTATATAAGGTTTAATTCTTGCCATTAAAATGTTCATAATCTGATGTAATGTGATTATAATTATATTGTACTGTTGAGTGTCTTGTATGCTCTCGTGTGTGTGTGCGCATGTGTGTGTGTCTGTCTGTGTGTGTGTGTGTGTGTGTGTTTGTGCTTTCAGCTGACGAAAGAAAGACAAGAAATGAACAACATTATGAAGAAGAAAAAGCATCAGTCACTCTAAAACATGCAGACAGGGATATAAAGTATGGATTTATCACCGCCTGAGATTCTAACGCACTAATTTGACAGAGAGAAGCCGGAAACTGAGGCTGCGGTCAGTTCTAGGTAAACCGGAGATCCTCACTCTGCCCTAAACATGATGTAAATCACATCATCACTTCACTCAGAACTACATCAGCTACTCACCACAGCTGTCCAACACTCACTATAGAGTGATAGAGGGTCCACAGCGCTGCCATGATGACCATGTTGGCTCTTCCTGAGAGGAGGACGAAGCCGGACAGCGCCAGTCCCACCAGAGCGATGTTGTCCAGATTAGCGTCCATGTCTTCCCACTCCATGAACCAGAGCAAAGAGGGGGTGTAGGCCAGCGCCGCCCCGCCGATCTTTCCCCCCACGTAGCGCTTAACGCTGCGCAGGTACTCTCTGCAGGGCATCAGGCCTCGCTGTCCAATCAGAGCTCTGTTCTGATTATACGCCACCGCAAACGCGACAACTACACAAACAAACACAAACAAACAACCATGAACAAATAAACACGTACAGACGCCATCATGAATTCATACGGGTTTCTGTCACACGCGAATCGCTCTTACTGATGAATTGATTATTGATTATCTAAAGACGATGAAAGTAGGACTGTGTTTGTGACTGGACTGAAAAATGGCCTGTATTTGTTTTTTTAAATTTAAATTTTGTTTTGTGTGAAAAAAAAAAAACTAAAATGCTTGGCCCCTCCCATTCAGCCTACCGCAGTTTAGCCCCTCCCATTCAGCCTACCGCAGTTTAGCCACTCCCATTCAGCCTACAGCAGTTTAGCCCCACCATTCAGCTACAGCAGTTTAGCCCCTCCCATTCAGCCTACCGCAGTTTAGCCACTCCCATTCAGTCTACAGCAGTTTATCCCCACCATTCAGCTACAGCAGTTTAGCCCCTCCCATTCAGCTACAGCAGTTTAGCCCCACCCATTCAGCTACAGCAGTTTAGCTCCACCATTCGGCTACAGCAGTTTAGTCACTCCCATTCAGCCTACAGCAGTTTAGCCCCACCATTCAGCTACAGCAGTTTAGCCCCTCCCATTCAGCATACAGCAGTTTAGCCCCACCATTCAGCTACAGCAGTTTAGCCCCACCCATTCAGCATACAGCAGTTTAGCCCCACCATTCAGCTACAGCAGTTTAGCCCCACCATTCAGCATACAGCAGTTTAGCCCCTCCCATTCAGCATACAGCAGTTTAGCCCCACCATTCAGCTACAGCAGTTTAGCCCCACCCATTCAGCTACAGCAGTTTAGCCCCACCCATTCAGCCTATAGAAGTTTAGCTCCACCCCTTCAGTCTACAGTTTTTGGTACTTAAAACCACACAAACTATACATATATATATATAGTTATAATGATGCTCTTATTTCAGGTTGGATGTTTTGTGTCACACAAGAAGCAAAACGAGGAGTTTTACTGAACCCGCGGAGCTGAACTCACAGTAGATGAAGCAGATGGATCTGAACAGCACTATTCTGGTGAGCCAGTAAGTTCCGGTCTGTAACTGAACCGTTTCTCCCTTCTTCTCTGGTTCCGGAGGGACATCCTGCTGATCTGGGTCCGCCTCTTTAGCGGTTCTGTCCGACTGTTTAGCTGAGCGTCTCTTTCTCAGAGCGCTTTCACTGCTCTCAGAGTCCTCGCTGGAAACCGCCATCGTGCCGAGTGCTCTGCGCATGCGCTACTTCCTCTGCCTCTCCCTCTCTCCCTCTCTCTCTCTCTGTGTGTGTGTGTGTGTGTGCGCGCGCGCGTGTGTGTGTGTGTGTGTGTGTGTGTGTGTGTGTGTCTTTAAAGGGGAAGGGTTCCATTTTTTGCAGTATTTTATAAATTTACACTGTACACTTTACACTGTAATATCAACCCATTAAAAGTGCCAAAACACATTACAAAACCATCAGGAACCAACAGAAACACTTAATGTGTTTTTTTTCAGAACACAATACAGGACGTGTACTGTATTTCTGAGCTCTCTGCGTTCTGAACACACAGAAAAACAAACCAAACTTTGATGGAAATTTGATAAAATTTGTACAACGGTGAAATGAACGGCGATTATAAAGTGAACCAGCAGGGGGCGCGTGTGCGCACTTCCCGCTCCCCGTAGAAGAAGAAGTCTATGGTCTAACTTCCTTGTGGGAAGAGCTCGACCGGCTACCAGCTAACAAGTTCTCCAGAAACAGCCAGGAGTTTGATTAAAGACTGTTTTTATCAGTTACACCATGTCGGACAGTCCAGGTGAGTCCTGCCTCAACCTGAAGAGGCCGCTGACGCTTCATAATCGGGGAAACCGCGAGCGAAGTCGGCTCCAACAGTCGAACCGGGCTCGTTAGCTGAGCGGGGCTAACTCACTCAGACTCCGGGCTTCAGCTCGGTTTCACACCGCAAACTTCATTTATCCGCTCGAACACCTGCGGGGCGCGTGAAGGTGAACCTGTCGAGGGATCTGAACGGCCCCGCTAACACAGCTAACAAACTCACTGCCTGGACATCGGAACATGGCAGTGGCATGGTGGCAGTATTGGATTCAAAATGTTGATGTTGTTCTAATATTTAGGATTAATGTTAATTTGTATGAGTAATAAAAAGGAGGCTGCACATATTTGTGCAGTGATGGTGTTAATTCCATCTTTGCTCGTGAGTGCAGGTGAACAGTGATGTCAGTGCACGAACATCTGTTTCAGCTCCAAACAAAGAACGTCAGCGTCACAGCCAGAAAAGGAGTTCAGATCTGTGGAAAACATTTCTAATTTACAGCAAGTGGCGCAGAATTCATTCACTTTTTCCGCTTGGATTCTGTTTTTGGGGTTTAAAAAAGGCTTAAGTGGTCTTCTCTAAGCTGTAATGAACTATGCAGAGACTTTCACTGATTCTAAAAAAAGATAAACTAGGAAGTCTCATAATGTAATTACCTAATGATGGAGATGCATCAGCCGCAATTATCATGTTTCAGTATTTAATGCGGAAACTTCACTGTATAAACAAGATATATACACACACAATATTTTTGGCTACAGTAACACTGATTTCTCCCTTAGGGCCTTTGCAGTGTTACATTGGTGTTGCTTTGCATCCTTCAAACCTGCAGCCTGTAAACAGTATTTTAAGGAAATATGTGTTCACAATCAAATAGACCTGTTAAACAGGGTGAGACGTCTTCAGCATCCTCAACTCCTAAATCATGTACATGTACAGTGTTTTCTTGGCTTCTGTTTACACACAATGAGCCCTTCAGAAGCCCTGGATTCAGTTCAGTTTTGTTAAATGACAAATAAATAAGCACTCTGAGGAAAATCTGTTTGGCTACGTTGTTCCTCAGACACACTATGGGTGTAAAATAAGTGATGAAAACCTTTTTAACTGTATGTTTAACTGTTGTATTAAATTTCGTAATTGAAATATTGCTCCTTATCAGGATTGCCACCAGGTGAAGACCAGAATTTAGAGATTCAAGGCTCTGTGACAGTCTGCAGTGTAGAGGTAGAGACTGAGATCCATGAGGAAAACACTCTTAATGATGGGCACTTCTGTGAGTTTCCTATTTAATATCAATACTGCAGTATTTATCTGTTAGCAGAAGCTCCTCTTAATTTTTTTCCCTCATGTTTCTCTCTCTAACAGACTGCGAGACCTGCTGTAAACTGTATGTGGATGAGTGTGAGGTTCATGGTCCTCCATTGTTTACCCATGATTCCCGCACGCCTGTGGGAGTTCCTCAGAGGGCTCTCCTCACTCTTCCACAAGGTCTGGTCATCGGTAGATCAACTTCTCCTGGAGCGGGACTCGGGGTTTTTAACCAGGGCAGAGTCATTCCTCTTGGAATGCATTTTGGACCCTTTGATGGAGAGGTGACCAGCCAGGAGAAGGCAGTGGAGAGTGCGTATTCATGGGTGGTAAGTATGAACCGTTGTGCAACAAAATAATGAAGCTGTTTTTCATGTTTTTGTTTCTGTTTATTGCCTTAGCAGTAAAAATAAGGGCGCTGCTATATAAAGTGAAACTTTTTATTTCTCAGATATGCAGAGGAGGCGACCAGTACGATTACATTGATGCAGAGAGAGACACTCACTCAAACTGGATGAGGTGAGTTACTGATTCTAATCCTCTCCAGACCTTAATCTGAAATGAAGGTGTTAATAGTGAGTCTGTGCTGCAGTAACAGCCTCTATTCTTCTGGGAAGGCTCTACACTAGATGTTGAACATTGCTGTGAGGATCATGAGAGTCTCATTAGAGTCGCGTCACATTCGCGTCATCTCGATTGTTTGGTATAAGGTGGTCAGGATGGAGGTCTTAAGTCAGTCTTTTTCTCGTCTTGATGCTGCGACAAAATCAAGCGTGTTTAATATTATCGTAAGTTTTAAGTCTTGGCTCATGCAAATAGTGACGTGCCAGGGGAGAGAGAGAGAGAGAGAGAGAGAGAGAGAGAGAGAGAGAGAGACTGCCTGAAATCTCTGTAAAAAAAAAACGGCAATTCAATACAATAATCATAGTAACCTAAAATGTAAACTGACTGTTTTAATATTTCAGGTTCACTTTAATATTTCAGAATCATCAATTATTTTCTATTTTTTTCTGTTTTCTGTTACAGTGATTTCTTATTTTGTTTGTTTGTTTCTTATGGTTTAGTTCATGACACCCAGTCGACAGTGCTGAATCGCTGCATGTTGTATTGATGTGTAAATTTTTATATCAAATTAAAAAAGTAACTGCACATTTTTCAGGTTAATTAAAAGATTCTGGGTGATGATCTGCCAGAGTATACAGTTCTATGGTGAACTAATCTGAGCCCCAGATCTTTACATACCCTGCCAACGTATCTTCCCATCTGTACCACTATAGAGTGGAAAGAAAAGGGTTTCTCTGCTTGTAAATTTGCACGAGGTGCATGATGGAGAATAATCTCAAAAATCTAGTTGCAGTCTTGTAAATAGTGACAGTGCAAGATTCCTAGTCTTTTCAAAATAATAGTCTGTGACTAAAAAACATGACACTGTCTTTAGATGTGAGAAGGTGTCAGACTTTAGTCTTTCAAAAGTCTTTTCAAAGTCTTCTAGTGATTAGCATAAGATGTTTAGATTCAGCCGATATTTCAGACTGATGTGTGTTGAACTCCAGAAGAGCAGAATGCTTGGCTGATGCTGGGTTACTGCACTGCACTTATTCGTTTTACTGCGTTTGTAACTCTACAGAAATAAATGTCACATTACTTTGTAATGAGATTTCAGAATGAAGCCTGAATTTCTACATGTTATGAATGTTTAATTATCAACATCATTCAGAATTCACGTCAGTGCATGCCTGTCATTAGTTGAAATGAAGCAAACTCTTTCCTTCACCTTTTTGAAAGTAAAATTCTGGCTGCATCCTTCACCAGCTCCTCCCTTATCTGGTGCGCCCACCCCCTGTGTTCACAGGTATGTTGTGTGCTCTCGGTCTGAGAATGAGCAAAACCTGGTGGCGTTTCAGCAGAGCGGGCGCGTTCTGTTTCGCTGCTGCCGCCCCATCCACCCCGGACAGGAACTGAGAGTGTGGTACGCAGAGGATTACGCCCAAAACCTAAGCACCATCTGGGATAAGATCTGGGACAGGAAGTGCAGTCCTATAGGTAACCAGAACTAACACCTCCTCTGTTTTGTATGTGTTTTGAATATACTTCCAATAAGGGTTGCAACAGTTCAATTATGCTGATAATAAAAATGATTATTCTTCTTTGATCCTGCTTTATGATCCTGCATATCTAACCGGGCTGCTTCTGTGTGCTCGCTAATATCAGCTTTGATTGCATGATGTTACAAACCACACAATTAATTTGTCTTTGCTTTATTAATAGAGGGAAAAAAATGAATGTCAGTGTAAGGTTTATCAAATCACAATACCTCTGTGAGAGTATTGCCATATTAAGTTGGTGTTTCTGCTCCTTTCACACAGAGTAAAATAGAGTTTTTGATGGCAGAAGGCATCATTGTTGATCTTGATAAAAGTGTCGAAGATAGGGTAGATGTGCAAATGGGGGAATAATCCTTATGCAAGCAAGCAAGCAAGGTTTATTTATATAGAGCTTTTTACAACAGGTGTTGTCACAAAGCAGCGTTACAGAAAAATCAGCATTACAAAAAAAAAGAAAAAGAAAATCAGCATTACAAAAAAAAGAAAAATCTGGGTCCGAGCCCCCATGAGCGTCGCCAGTGGCGACAGTGGCAAGGAAAAACTCCCTAAGAGCAAGAGGAAGAAACACTGAGAGGAACCAAGACTCAGAAGGGGAACCCATCCTCCTCTGGTCGACACCAGATAGCAAACATTGTTAGTATAAAGTATTATAGTACAAAGCGGGGAAAACAGGCGGAGCAATGGTTAATTAGATTAGTTTTAGATCATGCAGCAGCAGCAGCATCATCGTCAGGTCATGAGGATGAGGATTACACAGTGTTGTACAGTGTGAAGCTCAATGGTGGTCAAGCCAGTCCAGAAGGCTGGCGAGCAGTGGCACCCGATCAAGGCAGGAGAGACAACAGCATCAATTTTTACTAGTGCTGTCTCTGTACTATGATGTGGCCTTAAGTATTGAGACTGCGGGCTGAACATTTTTTTCTTTTCCCTAAAGTCATTTATATGATTAATCGAAACAGTAATGAACCGATTCATTGATTATGGTAATCAGTGTTAGTTGTAGCTCTTCTTTCAGTGCCAGTGCTTTATGGGTATTGCCCTCATGTATCTGAAGTGTCTTATATTTTGGGCAGTTAACAAAATAACTTCACTGAAGTTTCCTGTTTTTCTCCTACAGGAAGAAGTGATGAAGAGGCACAGGTTTTAACCTGTCCTTACTGCCAGTACTCTTTCCCAGCTCCTGTTTATCTGCACAGGCACGTCAGGCGCTCGCACCCAGATGAGTATCCACACCTCTCAGAAGCCCAGGCTCTCGAGCCTGTTGAACAGACATCAGTCATAAAGTTGGATCAGTGTCTGCTCGCCTCTGATGCACCATCTTCATCTCAAGTGCAGCCAATCACAGAATCTTTCCAGAGCCAGTTTCCTTCTCTCAGTGGCCAGACAGAGAAATCAGGTACAGCTGAAACATCACATGAACATAACAGTTTGAACGAAGACCAGACAGACAGCGGTGCACCGGAGAACAAATGTGGTGATTGCAGGAGAACATTTCTGAGGTCGTGCCACTTAAAAAGACACCAGCGCACAATCCACTCGAAAGAGAAGCCATATTGCTGCAGCCACTGCAGGAAGTGCTTCAGTCAGGCAACAGGGTTGAAAAGACACCAGCAAACTCACCAGAATGAAACGGAGCAAAGAATGGAGGTGAAAGAGGGTGCGCTGACAGATATCTATCCTTGTACTGAGTGCTCATTCTCTTTTGTGGCTAAACTCAATCTATACAAACATCTCAAACGGCACCACCATGGAGAGTACCTAAAACTGGTGGAGAACCAGTCTTTTAGCGCACTGCAAACTGAGGAGATCTCAGACAAACATGACCCTCCATATGAACCACCAGCCAGACTCAGGAGATCCACTGGGAGCCCTAATGGGAGCAGGGGTCACCCTAAAAAAGGACCTACTGGCCGGCCTCGTGGCAGACCACCTAAAAACAAGAGCCCCCAGCAGCCAATTAAGAACAAAGTTCAAGAGCAGAGTGCTGAGCCTGAACAGACCACCACTGACCTTGATGGTTCAGCAGTGCCACAGAGAGCTAATACAGATGGCACAATGCCTCAGGAACTGCCCACATCTTCACACATCTGCGGTGAGTGTCTGAGAACCTTCAGCCACCTGCATCTTCTGAAAAGCCATGATTGCATCCAACAGGGCGACGGTCCCCATGGGTGCTCCCGCTGCGGCCTCTATTTCAACCGCCTGTGCAACCTGCGGCGACATGAACGCACCATTCATGGAAAGGAGCGGCCGTACTGCTGCACGCTGTGTCTCAAGTCCTTCACGCAGTCGTCTGGTCTGAAGCGCCACCAGGACAGTCACTCACGCCGCAGCACCCACCGCCAGAGCGCCGCACTGGCTGACGCCACCATCTACCCCTGCAACCACTGCCCCTTCTCCTTCACCGGCGAACGCTACCTGCACAAGCACGTCCGCCGCCACCACCCGGAGATGACCACCAAGTACCTCTGCTTCAACGAGGGCGACGTGACGTCCAAGGACCACAGCTGCACGCAGTGCTCCAAGATCTTCCGCACGATCAGGGGTTTCAAGAATCACGCCTGCTTTAGGCAGGGCGACCAGCTGTACCTGTGTCCTGACTGCGGTAAAGCCTTCAGCTGGTTCAACAGCCTGAAGCAGCACCAGCGCATTCATACGGGCGTGAAACCGTATGCCTGCTCGCAGTGCGGGAAGAGTTTCGTGCACTCGGGCCAGCTGAACGTCCACATGCGCACCCACACAGGCGAGAAGCCATTCCTCTGTGCTGAGTGCGGCGAGAGCTTCAGGCAGTCGGGCGACCTGAGGCGACACGAGCAGAAGCACTCAGGCGTGCGGCCATGTCAGTGCCCCGACTGCGGGAAGAGCTTCAGCCGGCCACAGAGCCTCAGGGCCCACCAGCAGCTTCACAGGGGAACAAAAATGTTCCCCTGCACACAGTGTGGGAAAAGCTTTGCGCGTCGGTACCACCTCACCCGCCACCACCAGAAAATGCACTCCTGACCAGCAACTCAATGGATGCACTCAATGCCTATAATGACTGATGGACTGAAGGTTTCTGTTAGATCATTTTAATATCAGTGTGCAGCCACATAGATGCTCTGATGCAAAGCTTCTGAACAGTGCATGTTGTGTTAATGCACAGTCCAACCTATAAGGATACATACATATTTAAAACTGAAACAAGTGTTTCAAACTGACTGAAGCAACTGTTCCAGATGTTCTGTATGTATTATTAGTATGAGTAGTTCATCACAAGCAATAGATAAATGGCACATATTGTACAGAAGGGTACAATAGTTGAGGGCAGACTTAAATGAGCAAAAGGAAATGTATCCACTAAATTATACTTTACAAATCTTAAAGGCTGGTATCTGCGATACGGATTTGGAATCAAATAAAATGTTTATCTGATCATACAATAAAATATTTGGAAATTCTTTAAACTCTGTTACTGAGAAATCAGCACTCAGTGTAATGAGTACGTTCAGAGTACGCTGATCTGCTGTGGTGGTGCTGTGTTAGCATAATCTACAGCAGTGGTCACCAACACTGGTCCTGGACATTTTTCTTCTTGCAGAGTTTAGTTTCAACCCTGATCAACCACATCTACTACTGTTAATTAACTTCTGAAGTTCTTCTTTGGCTGGATCAGATGCTTTAGTGTTGGATAAGGTGGGTGCAGCATGTTAGACGCAGGTTGGAGGGCTGGTGAGCACTGACCTACCGCAGTTTCTAAAATCAGTCCTTGGGACACATCTGACAGTTCCACGTTTGCTTTGTTCCAAAACTCCACTCACAAGGGTTAGAGCAAAAATGTTGGCCCCCAGGGGCCGGATTCAAAAACACTGAACTGTGTTATAATACTGATGTGTGAAAATGTTGGACATTAATGAAATAAGTAAATACTATTAACATGACAGTACCAGCTGAGGGGTGTAGCTCTGTAGGGGAGTACATTTACATTTACAGCACGTAGCAGACGCTCTTATCCAGAGAGACTTACAAGTAGTGCTTTGTCTATCTAGAGAAAGTATGTTGGTAACTAGCAAAGAGGTTAGAGAGAAAGTCCTGAGCCCAGATACTGCTAGAAACAAAAGCCCATGTTAATATAGAGAGAAAAAGAAACAGAGTTAAACACAGCACTGCAATACATTTTAATAAGTTCTTAACTCAGTGCTCACTTAAGTGCTGTATGAAGAGACGTGTCTTCAGTCTGTGTTTGAAGACTGTGAGAGACTCTGCTGTTCAGACAGACAATGGGAGTTTGTTCCACCACCTGTGTGCCAGTACAGAGAAAAGGAGTAGTGTTCCCTGCTGTTTGCATTCAAAATATAGGTTAAAAATGAATTGGAGGCGCTACTTGATACAGGTTGTACAGCGTAGTGAGTGTCACCCCCACGTTCAGTTACCCAGATTCTAGATTTCTCTACACTTTTTGTTTCAGGAATGAGGGAGAACTCCTGAGTGTATTTCACTGGCTTTTAAAAAAGGAAAATTACAGCAGAAAGGTGGGAAGCAACATCAAATAAAGTTGTTGATTTAAGTCTTGCTCTGCTTAATATCTGTTTCAGTAATCATACACATTCATTTAGTCTTACATAAATAAGAGGATAGTATCATTTTATGTCCATCTAGGTCAAACATGCTGTCTTCACTGCTGTCCGACAGCCTTGATGAAAGCAGAACAAAGGAAATGAAATGCAACCGCTAAATGTGCACAAACCACTAGTAAATCATTTAAAAACGAGTTTGATTATTCATGAATAAATGTATATCCATATACACGTTTGTTAAATATGCATTGTTGCCTTTTGATTTTTCAAGGGCTTTTTTGTTGTTGCTGCATATAATTTTTTATAATGTCATTGTTTATGTATTTGGTTCGGGTGGGTTCTATATGGATTTTCAGAAATATTCTGCTGGAATAGTGGGTGGAGTCACTGTTCGTCTCCTTTCGTAACACGTTTGACGTCATCATTGCACACGAACTGGGCTTATAAACCTCTGCTGTTTTACTGCACGGTTTAAAGGTCGGCTCAGTTCGGAATCACATTTAAAATGCTTAAATATCCTGTCTAATCCGCTTTGCAAGGAATTCCGAAGCCGACCGGAAGGCGCTTCTAGATTTAACATGGTAAGTTTATTTGCGGCGTGGATATTTTTTATCTGTTGGAAATGTTTTCAGAGCTGGTTTATGAAGAACCTATTTCCACTGTTATCTCAGAAACATGACTGCAAAACACCAGAGGGCGCCCGTGAGTAAGGCCTCGATGAGGAGGGGTGAATGGAGCTAAACAGCTTAAAAAGTTAAAACGAAATAAGTATCTAATTGGACTGTGGGAGGAAATACAGACACAGGGAGAACTCTGGTTGCCTGGCAGGGAATCGAACCCAGACCCTTCTTGCTGTGAGGTGACAGCGCTACCCACTGGGCCTCCGTATAACAGAGGTGTTAAATAGTTTCATGCTGTTCTGTGTTCAGGAAATCAATGTAGTCGTTTTTTTTAAAAAAAGTTAAAGCATTTATAAACTATGATTTTACTCAAATGCTCCATATTAACCCATTCATTTTGGACTCGCTCAGGAGCGCCCTCTAGGGTTTTAGAAAGCAGAAGATATTACAGTGATCATTTCCCTCTCTATAAGTTCTCTGATGGTTTTCACAGCAGTTTAAAGCAGCTTCTACCTTTTGCCTTCTGGAGCACGTCACCAGAAGTGGACTGACCATCACAGCTTCACAATAAACATTTATCTTCAACAGTGCAGAAAATTAGGTGATAAAGCTGTGACTCAAAAGACTGTACTGCAGTACAACCCCTGAAAAAAATAATGGACTCACCACACTTAGGATGTTCACCAAATCTTTACTTTTGGGTTTTTAGGGATTGGGGTTAATGCTTTGCTTAGGCTCAAGATTATGTTTTATGCTCAAGATTGGCTCAATAGTGGGCTCCAAATTTGGGCTTGTAGTCCCAAGTTATAGTTTGGAGTCCACCCCTGGTTAAGGTGGGGGGCCCTGTTGTTTGGCCCCCAACCACAGATTGGGTGGGAGGGAGAGTTAGGGTAGAGGTTTGGTTTAGGCCCTAGGTTATGTTTGGGGGTTTTAGAGTTAGGGCTAGTGCTGTACTTAGGCTTAAGATCAGGTTCAGGCCCAAGGTAGACTTATGGTT